TCCAATCTCAAATCCTGTGTGGTCAATATGCTTTTATGGTGGAAGAGATATGACTGAGTCAGAGAGGCATTAATCCTCAATGACATCTTTCAGCTTTCTGCTATTTTGTGAACAAAACAATGTGGTAACGCTTTCGTTACCCTGCACTCCTTATAATCCTCAAAGTCTCCTCTATGTCTTCAGAATAAAAATCTAAATTATTTCCATTATCTTGCCCAAGAAATACTCCATCCTCATGGCTGGCTGCTCTCCCTCACCCATATTTGGAGCATAAGCAGGTAACCCATCTTGTTCTTTTTCGCCTCCTTGTCTTGATGCTCTATTGTGCTCAGGGCTCTAAAGTCAATGTCCTATGTCATTCAAGTGCAGCTTTTTCTTATCCTTCAAACCTTCCTATAGATATCACCTTATCCAGAGTGTATTACCCGAACCACCAATGTGGTTTGTGTTTCCTGTTTCTATCATAGAGCTTATTCTTATATTGAAATTATTTAGCTTTCTGTCTTGCTCACTAGGCTCACCATAGATTCCCAGAAAAGAAGTGTATCTTACTCAGCTTGAAATACATAGTAGCTAACACAGTGCCTTGCATGTAGTGGGCACTCAATATGTATGTTCAATGAATAAAGTAATTAATATTTACAGAGAGGGAACAAAAATATGCAGAAAATAGACATTTGATGAAAAAAAGCAAATGGCACCAGTCTTGCCTAACCCATCAGAATCCAGGACTGATTCAGAATCAATAGAGCATCTTTAGTTCTATATCCTCCCTATTTTTCTACCCATTGCTTTCCTCTAGAACCTCAACTATTTGCAAATAACTAAGCAGTTTAACCATTAACCCCAATACAAGATCATGTTTCTTTGCTGAAATTTGATGCAAAAAGCTTAGTGTGACCATCTGGTATAGTAAGGAAAACACTGGACTTAAGTGTCAGACCATTTGTCCCTATTCTATCATTTGACTAATGGTGTGTTACTGGAAAGATACCCCAACCAGCCTAAAATGCAGCTCCCTTTCCTATTTGATCATCCTTAGTAAAGTTAAATTCTTGTTGTTGTTGTTGTTGTTTAAATACATTCTTATCCAAGTTGGCAATTGGAAGTAGCCAATTGAGCCAGAAAGAACTCAGACTTTAGGATATGACAAGCTTAACTCTGAATCCTAACTATACCACCACACAATAACTGGGTGATCCTGGGCAAGTTACCTAAATCTCTGAGGTCGTTTTCTCATATGTAAAGATACTAATAATTTCCTCTTGAGTTATTGTAAAACTTAGATGAGATAAGGAGTGAAAAAAAACACTTATAGATTTTTCAAATACCAAATAAGATTGTTGTCATTATTCTTGTTTGGGCAGATTTAATAAAGGTATAGAACAATGTTTCTCAGAGGCTTTGTATTCCACATAATTACAAGCTTATTTAATAGATGTTACCTCAAAAATTATTGACAACTGCACATGAGCACTAAGAAGTCATGCTATAAGAAAAGCATTTAACTTTTTGACCTATCATTTTCTCTACTTATTTGAACATGGGACACCCTTTAATAGCAAGGGTAGAATAGCAAGTACAGTAAGAGTCTTTATCACCTTTCACTATAGAGATTCTCAAAGAAAGACCAATATACCAAAAATGGTGAAAACCCTCCTGACTCTGCATCCATTAATGGGCTTATTCTTTACAGTGTTCATATTTCCTAGAAAAAATAAATAAATAGGTACATATATACATAGGAAAATGTCAGATAGAATTGTGAGAGTAAATTTAATAAATATTGAAGGAAAAAACATTTAGAAACAACTTGTCATGGGCATGGGGGCTATAAACTGTCCTACTTGGGCATTTCTGATCCCCATTGGCTAAACTTCACTCTTAGTAATTTCTGGAATCATAGGAAAAGATAAATAAAGAAACACAGCTTCTAATTCACTTGCAGGCACAGATCAGTTAAAGTCATAATTGCTCTTTTTACATGACAGCAGAAGTTCACTTCATTATTTCAAATGGCTCTTTCTCAGTATTACCTCCTGTGACTTTAAAAGCCGCCATTAATTTCCCATTAGTAAACTTTAATTAAAATGAATATGTATCATTGCTTTCAGCAGTTGCATTTGTAATACATGGAAAAATACATGCAAATGTTGCCCACAAAGTTACAAATGGCTCATTTCTGTACAAGCAAACACTTTGATGTTATTTCAAAAGATTTTATCCACAGAAAGCTTTTAGAATCTAACCTTTCCCTAAAAGAACTAGAATTTTATGTAAATACAATGAACAGTTACCAACCTAGTTAAAATCTATTTTATTGATCCCAGAAAGTAGCATGTTAAAACATGAATAATGACCTCTGAGCTTTGAACCCACTCAGTACCTTGGTATTTCTGCAATATTTGTGTGCAGTGCATTGAAAAGGAAAGCTAGAAGGGGCAGAAGAATACGTCTAATTGAAGGTCTCATAGTGGTCTAAGATGTTGGATTATGTCTAATGCAATAATCTGAGATGAGTCACATTTCACCATCTTATCATCAAAGATGCTTCTTCCCCAAAGTTTCCATTCAAATATTCAACACTCAGAGAAATTGGAACATATTAGAATGTATCTGAATGTTAAATTTCATAAGCTTTCTTATCCCTTTGCAATTTCTTTTATTAGGTCAAAAATTTTTATAAACATTATTTATAAAGAGAAAATGAGGCTGATGAGTCTTAGATCATGCTTGCATCAAGTTACCCTGGCATCCCCAAAATATGTCAGCCAGAATTCAATAGCAGTTAAAGGAGATGATAATCCAGGTTTCCATACTAAACACATCATTCTGAAAATGTTCACAAACATCTGATAATATTTCTAATAATAATAATACTTCTGCCTCTAATGAGAATACCACAGAAATGCGTAACAAAAACGGAGCCACATATTCCTGCAAGGGTTAGGTCACTTAATGCCTTTGGCTGGCAGACTGTGTTTTTCTCTCTGTATTCAACCTTACCCTTCCATTGCTTTTCCCCTTTGATATCTATTCTGTAAGGACAGTTGGTCCAGTGGCTGTGGTCTCACTAAGATGTTTGTCGGCCTTTATCTTTTCCTAATTATTTCCCATTTTCTGCATATTACTTCCTGAGAAAATTGAGCATCGTTTCTCATTTTTAGAAGATTCAGTACATACAACATAAAGCAACGTATTCATTGACAGAATTTGATAGATTTTCAAAATGTATCGATGTGTAGAAAAAATTCATAGTTTTTAATTAATAGAACTGAGAAGTACTTGCATTATACTATATATTTGCATATCAAGAAACTTTAAAGGCAACTTTAAAAGGAATCTTGCATAAAGTTTGAAAAAGTTAACAAATGAAATTGTAAGCCTCATTTACCACATTATCAGATTAAAATGCTAATCATCTGCATAGCAGTCATAAATAATTTCAGTAATTAAATCAAGGGTTCTAGTTCTTCATCATACATGAAGAAGAGCATCAAGCAATAAGCCTTCCCAACAGACATCTATGGAAAATAGAGCTATCGCATTTAACCTACATTCCAAGAGTCCTTTGACTGCAAAATATAGATGTTTCCAATGTCAATCTGACTGCATAACATACAACACTTTTCCAGAAAGTATCTGCTTAATTTTTTGTTTTTTTTTTTACAATGTGGGAAGTCTCCAACTTTGGCAATGTTTATTCTGGTTTACAAACTACTGGTCCTAAGAAGGTGGTGAAACCATCATACTTGCTGGATGAAAATGCTTCTGTTCGTAATAAACCAAAAGAAGTGTGTTTTCCATTCCACAAACCCTGAGTTGTGTTCAAGCAGGTACTTTGGTATAGTTAATGACTTACATTTTATCACAAAAACACATAAAAATAAAATTTAAGAAGAACACTAGATTAGCAGAGTGCTGTCCCATATTGGTACACTTTCTAGGAAGTTTCCACATGTTACTTATACTATAGATTTACTAACTCATTCTAAAACCATAAAAGCTCTGGATGTTAGCATCTAAATAATTCCACATACATAACTTTTGGAGATGTTCAATACTGTTTGCAAAACCTACTAAAACAAGAGTCAAAAGAACACATTCCTGAGCATACTGTTACAATATCCATAAATCAATGGAATGGTTGATATGTCCCTGTCTAACAAGTTTAGGCTTATATTTAAGTTTGCCTTTGGAAGTGATATATATATCATATCACATCTAAGAAGATCTGGTAGATAAGATACTAAGTAGCAAAGCAGCCAGTGAAGATACAAAGTACAAATAAAGTTTATAGGACACACCACGGGTTCTCATTCACATGAAAAAAAAAACAGATATGGGGATATTGCAAGATAATCAGAAGGTGCAACATATAAGTAAGTCTGGGCCTGTAAAATGTACTTACTCATGCTTGGAGATATGTATGCTTCTATATGACAAGTTAAGTGCTTTTTTTGTGCTTTACTTTAAATATAGTACTTCTCTAGCAGTGGTGATTAAAATGTGGGTACTTTTGAGTGATGACAACTCCCATCTAAATAGAATTGGTAATTTTTCCAAAGGAACAACAACAACAAAAAATCCTGATTGCAACACTGACATCAAATTCAACATAATAAAAACATTTTAAAAGACCTTACCAGAATCCTCTACTACTCACTGAAAATGGGGAGGGGGAAGGTTGTAGCATATGAAGAGAGAGAGAAGCAAGTGAGGCAGTGGGAAGACATTAGGGATGAGGTGATTAAAACCACTTTGCTGCCCTTCCTTCGTTTCTCACTCCCCTCCCACTCTAGGCTGATTTAAAAAATTCTTAAAACTACAAGCCCCATTTAAACACACACACATAAACACACACAACAACAACAGCAACTGAAAGAGTGTGACTAGGGTAACCACCACAACAATCCTGAACGATTTTCGTGCAAAAGCAAAGCAGTGGGGATGTAGTAGCAGCAGTGACTCTCCCTTGTCCCCCACCCCTGATACGGTACCTCCAGATTTGCCCGAGCTGCAAGATGTGGATGAGTGACTGCAGGAGCCAGATGCAGAAGGAGCAGGACGCAGACCTGTGTTTGCCGCTGGCCCGGGTGGCCCCGCTGCTGTTGCTGTTAGTGGCGGTGATGTTGCTTTTGCTGGCGTTGGATGCTTGTCTTTGCGGTGTGGAAGGACGAGCCTCGCCTTCCCCAGCTGCAGACCCACCGCTGACCACGGTCTTGCAATCCGCTCCAGACTGCGGGCAGCTGGAGGCAGTGGCCGTGGTGCTGTCCTCGGTGCTGAAATCGTGCACAAACCAGCGGAAGCTGAACACTTGCACTGAGAGCGAGCCGAGCACCACGAAGAAGAGCGTGAGCCCGAACCACCAGCGCTGGCCGCGCAGGTAATAGTCCACGGCGAGCCAGATGTCCGTGCCCACGTCCGCGAAGTACACGGCCACCGCGGCCAGGATCCAGAGGCAGTCCCACAGCGAGTAGCGCCGCTGCTCCCTGCCCAGGCGCAGGCACAGCGCCGCCGAGCCCGCCCCGCTGCCTCCACCCGGGCCGCCAGCGCCGCCGCCCGAGCCGCCTGAGCCCCCAGAGCCACCGCTCCCGGAGCAGCAGCAGCAGCAGCGTGAGCAGCCGCTGCCGTCCGGGCAGCAGCCTCCCCCGGCTGCCTCCTCGTCCTCGGCTCCGGACCCCGACGGCAAGCCTGGAGCCAATGCCTGCACCGAGCCCGAGTGGTCCGAGTTCTGCAGCGGGGTGAATGCCACGTCGCTGCTCTTCTTCATTTTCAGCCTCCCGTCTGACTTAGCGGCCATGATGCCTCCAAACCGAAGGAGAGCCCTCCTTTATCTGACACCTTTCCCCGCTGTCTCCTCCTCCCGCCACCTCCTCTGCTCACCCCGGCTTCCCTCCCAGGCGGCGCGGCTCTCCCTCCTCCTGCTCCTGCGCCGGC